GACAGCCCTACCGCCGGGGCTGCTGGACGCGCTGCCCCTGCTGCGCGCTGCGCACCTGGGCGCCAACCCCTGGCGCTGCGACTGCCACCTGGTGCCGCTGCGCGCCTGGCTGGCTGGCCGGCGGGAGCGCGCGCTCTACCGTGACCTGCGCTGCGCCGCGCCCCCAGCGCTGCGCGGCCGCCTACTGCTCTACCTGGCAGAGGACGAGCTGCAAGCCGCCTGCTCGCCCGGTGCGCTCTGCAGGGGGTCGCTGGTGGCACAGCTCGTGCTGCTCGGCCTCGGGATGCTGCACGCACTGCTGCTGGTGCTGCTGCTGCGCCGCCTGCGGAGGCTGCGCGGCCGCACTGCGCGCGGTCTGTTTCTGACAGCCCCGCTGGTGGCGGAGCCGCCCGGAGCCAGCGAGTCCTGAGAAGAACGGACTGGCGCTGAGCGACGCGGGCCTGCCAGTTTGACAGGACCCTGCCCTGAGGAGCCCTCACCCTTACCTGGACCGGCTCTCCTCCGCCCAAGCACCATCTCCCAGGCCCGCCACCTCCTGCAGACCCGGGTCCATGGGGGCCCGACGGCTGCACACCCACCGCTAGCGCAGCCAGCTCCCTCCCTGGACGCTTAGGCAGGTCCAGTGGGGCCAACTGCAGCCCAGACCCTTCGGAGACTCCTGCTCCCAACTCCAGTGTGGAATAAACCCATCTCCTGATCTGACCCGTCTCTACACCGTGCTTCACCTGGACACCCTCCTCTCTAAACCGCAGTAAAAGCCCTGGGAGGCAGTTTAAGGGGACACATCACATCTTCATACACCCTCAAATAACTTCTAAAACAAATGAGGTCAGTGAGTAAACGCTTTCACAGCAGTTCAAGTGAGAAGGCAGAGAATAACCTAAAGGGCAGTGATACACTATAGGGTAGTGAGGAACACAGGGAAGTAAGGACATTGTGGGACACTGAGGACAGCGTGTGAACAGCAAGGACACTGTGGAGACAGCCAGACCACTGTGAGGACAGCAAGGACACTGGAGAGGGAGGACACCGTGAAGACAGCCAGGACACTTTGGGGACAGTGAAGACACTGAAGAGTAAGACAGAGGACATTGAGAACAGTGTGGGTCAGTGAGAAAAGTGGACAGCAAGGACAGTGTGGGGACAGTGAGGACACTTTGAGGGCAGTGAGAACGCAGCGGGGAAGAGGACACTAGGACAGAAAGCACTGTGGACAGTGAGGATTGTGTGGGGCAGTGAGGACACTGGGAACATTGAGGATATTGTGGACAGTGAAGACAGGACAGTGAGAACAGTGTGGACAGTGAGGACCCTGTGGGGACAGTGAGAACACTGTAGGGTAGTGAGGATTCTGGCAGTGAAGACACTGTGAAGAGTGAGAATATGGGATATTGAGGACATTATGGGGCAGTGAGAACCTGTGGGGACAGTGAGAACACTGTAGGGTAGTGAGGGTTCTGGCACAGTGAAGACACTGTGAAGAGTGAGAATATGGGACATTGAGGACATTATAGGGCAGTGAGAATGATAGAGACAGTGAGGACACTGAGGACACAAGACAGTGGACAGCAAGGACATTGTAGGGACAGCAAGAACACGGGAAAGCAAGGACACGAGGCAGGACACTGGGGACAGCAAGGAGACTATAGGAGAGCACAGCAAGAACACGGGAAAGCAAGGACACGAGGCAGTGAGGACACTGGGGACAGCAAGGAGACTATAGGAGAGTGAGGATAATATGGGGACAGTAAAGACACACTGTAGGGACAGTGAAGACAGTGTGGGAACAGTGAGGACATTTCATGACAGTCATCGTGAGAGGAGGATGCTCTGAATGGCCGTGTCTGGCGGTCAGTGGGGGGCCTCTGAGGACAGTTCAGAGAGTGAAGTTTCCCCGATGGCAGTGACTATGCCATGCAGGCAGCTTTCAAGGCAGTCGGGATGGATTGGGAATGGCAAGGACAGTCTCGGGGCCCATCTGGAACTCCTTGAGCATCTAGTGAAAAGCTCTGTAGGGCAGGTGGGGTGGGGGCTGAAGCCATGTGAGGTGGGGGTCCATGGACAGTCCCCGCAGGGGTGAGTGGGCACCATGGGCTTGCAGGATCTCTGGAATTATTTCCTCCCCTTGCCACCACTTGCTGCAGAAAGATGCCTCTGACTGCAGACCAGCCAGGGACTTCTCAGAGGCTTCAATCACCCCTGACCCTGGACTGTCAACCGGGTCTAGGGACTCCTCTGTGGGTGCTCCATGGCTGCTAATGGACCCCCAGGGGCCCCAAGGAAAAGGCTGACATTTCCTTACTACTGGGATCCCGCTCCAACCCCAGGTGTGGCCTGCACCTGGCTGGCCCTATGAATAATGAAGGCTGTTCTCCATGGACCCCAAACAGAACCCTGACAGAGCCTCAGGCCTGGGCCTTGGCTGCTTGGCACAGGAAGGCCCCGGCCCCCAATGACCGGGTCGGGGAGGCTGCCGCTGACATGGCCTTTGTCCTGGCCTTTGTGGGACAAGACAGATGGCCCTCCGGTCAGGCCGATGCTATCTCAGGGCTGCTGGTGGGACGTGAGGCAGGAGCCACCCCCGCCTTTGTGGGCAGGTGCAGGGCATCCGGCCGTCCCTCCAGCCTTATCACATCAGAGACGGTGGCCTCTTTATACAAATGAACTGCCACACTGCTGTCCCCAGGGGTGGCCCAGTACCCCTAGATCCCTTGGTGGGGTTAGAGGTGATAGTCGTCACCACAGTAAGGTACACAGGCAACTTCCCGAACTCAGTTCCAACACAGTGTAGGAAAGGAATATCCCCCTTACTTTCCAGAGGAGGAAACCAGATCCCACAGAGGGGTCCCCTGCTGGGCCCAGAGCTTCCTCTGTGGCTGAGACCAGGCCCCTGGGACCTCCTTTCTCCTCCTCACTGAGGCCCTCAGGGGACAAATATAGGGCCCAGGAGAAAGTGGCCTGGAGGTTCGAAGCAACCCCAACTAAAAGAAGGCCCCCCTGGATTGTGGGACGAGGCCCCAGCAGGAGCTGTGGTGAGTGGTCAGCAGGAGCCCAGCTCTACTGCTCAGTGCCCACAGGCTTGGGGGCTCCCAGGCCAGAGCCCATCTTGAGGGACAAGATGGAGGAGAGAGGCTGACATTACAGTATGGTCAGACCTAAAAAAGAACTTCCCACTCACTAGCGTATGGGGCAGCTAAACCCCATGGCTCTGCCAGGATCACCCTTCCCCTCTTGCCAGTTCTCCATGATTTAGACTTGCTCCTGACAAGGTACTGACCACAGTGGGGTGCCGACCTGGCTTCATTGACTGACCTCTAAGCTGCCTGGGAGCCCCCAATCCCAATGCTGACCCTGAGCTGACCCTCCATTCACCGACCCTGGGGCCTCGGCCTCCAAGGAATGTGGGGAAGTGGACCGTCCCAGCTCAGCGCCCCTGAATGGCCCTGTTTAGAGGGGGGGAGTGTAGACTCCTTCCCCCAGACCAGGAACCTACCATGCCCCTCCCCCCAGCATTGTCTTCCATCTCATGGACAACACACCTGTTCCAGGGCCCCTTCCTCACTGACAGGCTGGTCCCCTCTATGGCCTCAGACTCCTTCTAGATGGGAACAGGTGGAGGTCCACTCAAAAGCCCTGCCCAGTTCCCCTCACCTCCAGCTCCCAGGCTCCCTTGCTCTATAGTTCAAGGGTCTTCTGACAACACCTCTTTCTCCCCATCCTTCCTGGGCTCCCAGGACCCTCCAGCTTCTGTCAAGGTCCAGCCTTGGCTACCCTCCCCCACGGGGCCAGTGTAGCTCTGAATCTTTGCCCATGCCAGTCCCTTCCTGCTGTAACTTGAATAAGTCCTCATTATTCAAGGCTTGAATAAGTCCTCATTATTCAAGGCCCCATTAAGGCGTGTCCTCCGCAGGGAGTTTCCCAGCCTTGCTCTGGCCCTACACGTGGATCAGGACACTGTCCAAGCCTGTGCCACTTAAATAGGCCAGGGGTTTAAGCCATATCCCAGGTCTGCACGCAGCCAGCTAGCGAGTGAGCGGTCAAAGGGTTGGATAGAACGAGCCCTCGCAGAGCCAGACAGCATTCACAAGGAAGACACAGCCGTGACCTCCCGTGGGAGCCTCTGTGTCCTCGGTGAAATGGATGGGTGCCGCCGGGTGCCCTGTCCAGTCCTCCCCTCATGACCCCGGGAAGGCACCAGAGGGCGCTCGCGGTCTGCAGAAACCCGGCAGGGGCGCGGGCGGCGAGGTGGGCACTGGGTGGAGACAGCCCGAGTCCGCGG